GGTGAGACGGGCTGTTGCTCTGGTGTTATCGGCTGTAATATGCTGTCCTGGTTTCCCTGGCTGTTTTCCAGAAAGTTGTCCTTGGGAGCTGAATCTTGGAGCAGTTCTAATATGTCACATTCTGTCTGTGGTGAGCGCTGTGGGCAGGGCTCAGCAGAGATTGTGTCCGTGAGCAGAAGCTGTTGTGGCTGCATGGTGTTATCATTGTCCTTGTGTGACGTGTCAACCGCATGTCCATTCAGGTGCTGAAGTGAAGTCCTGTGGTCATTCATACTGTGTCCAGGTGTGTGTGTGCCATTCAGGTTGAGTGGTTTGGCACACACTGCAGAAGGATGATTGAGGGAGAAGCAGATATTGTCCTTTAGCACTCTTGAACCAAGTTTGTTTGGGTGGAGCCCATCCTGTTGAAACAGTTGCCTCTGACTCCAGAAAAGATTGAAGTTGTCAATGAAGTTCACTCCTTTTAAATAGCAGGTTTTTTGGAGCCATGTATTAAGCCCAAGCAACCGTGAAAACCTGTTTGTTCCTCTTGCTGGGATTGGTCCACTGATGAATGTTTGAACTTTCAGTCTTTTAAGTGTTTCAAAAAGTTCATTGAAATCCTTCTTAAGGAGTTCTGACTGCTCTTTATGAATATCATTTTTCCCCACATGAATGATGAGTCGATTTGCAGTCTTATGTTTCATCAGAATGTTCTCAAGTTCACTGTTTACATCAGAAGTTGTTGCTTGTGGAAGGCAGCATGTAGTTGTATCCCTGATACTAATGTTTCTGATTATCGAGTCCCCCACTATCAGAGTCCTGTGCTCGGCTGCGCTCTGAGCTGAGTGCCGCTGTCTGCTCGACCTTGAGCGCCAGTTAGCATCAGTGTTAGCTACTGGCTGATTCAGTCTGTGTTCGATCACATTCATCACGTTTGGGGATTTCTCATTTACATTCATTAATACTTCAAATCTGTTCTCAAGATGTATAGGCGGTGGTAGGAGACCAGTGTTTGCAATCCTTGTCAGAGCCGTATCTGGGGTAGAGGATGCTACTGCGGCAATATGTGATACTCGTGACAATCTGATGTCTCGAGTGCCTTTGGGTCTCGCTCCCTGTGTGTGCCACCGATTTGTAAGTCGATCGGTTTGTTTCTCTACACTCAGTATGGCCTGTCGAGGAGTACTAGATGCATGGGACTCACCGGCTGTATGCTGAGGGCGTCCATGGCTGATATCTGTTGTGTGTTCCGTCTGGTTCGGTGGTCCCACAAATAACTTTGTTTCAAGAACTACAATCCTTTGTAAAAGTCTCTGGCAGTTAATGCAGCAAGTAGATTCCAGAAGAGGCATTTTCTCTTATCCTTTATGAGTGTAGACAGTTGTGTTTTCTCTTCCCCGGAATGTAAGCTTTCAGTGGGAGGCTGGTCAAGTAAAAAGAATTCTGCTGTTTTTTTGTAGTAATCCAAGCGTTTGAGCACTGTGCTGATTAGCTGAAGTTAAAATTAGGTGATAAAAGGAGATAAAATATAAAAATATAAAAGCGATAGAGCAAAGCGCGGAGCAGTAAGCAAGAGCGTCCCGAACAGTAGCAGAGCAGGAAGGAGATCATAGACAGTGCTCCGGCACATCAACAATGACAGCGCCGGTCCGGTCCACGCCGCGCAGACTATGATTGACAGCTACCTCATGTGCGAGGGCGGGTCTGTGTTGAAACGCTCCCGTCAATTAACAATCGTGGGAGGGGCGTCCGTTTTATTGACGTCACAAAAACGAACGGCTCGATTTGAGGCAGGGGAAAACATATAAGGAGATTAAAACAAAACCACTGGATGGATTTTTATCATTATATGATGTTTGTGTACAGGCACTGCCAACACACGTTTCAGTACAATCAACTTGTAAAAGTGCATGTACCATTATATGACCCCTTTAAAAAAAGTAATTAGTTATAGTTACTAGTTACTTCTCACAAATAGTAACTGAGTTAGTAACTGAGTTACATCATTATAAAAGTAACTAATTACCAGAGAAAGTACCTATTGCGTTACTTAAAAAAAAAAAAAAAATCAAATAGGCCTATGTCAAATAATTTGGATGCCCCCAGTATTAAATATGTTAAATTAATGAAATGGACACTTAATAGTGTAGATTAGTGTTCAATGTTTTATAATAATAATTTATTCTATTTTAATGTTGCTGTGGGACAATGTGAGAGACGCCTATTAAATCCAATATATTATTCTAAATATTAGCATTACTATAGTAGAACAATAAAACATTATAGATGGTTTACTTAATATCGCACAGACCCCAACTGGCCAACAAATAAGTTTAAAAATAAATTATGCTTCTTAAGAAATGTACCAAAAATAAATAAATAATAATAAAAAATATACATACTCTTTGTGTATATTAAAATGATAAAACTGTTACACAACTTCACAACTAGTAGACATACTGTAGCCTGAGTATTTTCTTCCTAACAAAAGTAAACAGTTTAACAAGTGCTCTCTCAATATAATACTGAACAATTTACCAAAAAAAAATATAATACTAAAATATAATATTTTGGGGGTTTATTTTTATAACCTATAGCGAACGTCATCATCAGAGATTATTTAAGCCAAATTCTAGACATGTTTGCCGCACGTGTTTACAACCGGTCAAACAAAGATGTTTTCTGTGAATGTTCCCTGCAGGTTATTTTCGGGTTTATTTTATAACCTAAACAAAACGTTACCTGACGGTAATTTTTTAGATTTGATTTGTATAACCATGTAAATTAATTAACGTTGCAGATATGTGTAATTTATTTATAAACAAACTATATAATGCTCGGACACCCTCGGTCTCTCTTGCGCAACTGTTGAGCGCGCTCTCGGACACATTCGGTCTCTCTCGCGCATTGAGCGCGCTCGCGCCAATCGTTCGCTTTTGTCCACTCCGGCGCCTCATAAACACACACACACACACACCAGAGAAAAAACTTTTTTTTTGTCAGTAACGGTAACTGCGTTGTAACGGGGGAAACAGTAATTCGTTTGATTACTCGTTACTGAAAAAGATAACGCCGTTAGTAACGCCGTTTATTTATAACGCCGTTATTCCCATCACTGGTTGCCATTAGCTATATCAGAGCTCTCAAGTGTCACGCATTGAGCGTCACAGTCACTCATTTCGGTCTTTTGTATTTATCTCGCGGAAAAACTGTTTATAATATATTTAATATGCCGCAGCGCCCAAAATGTCTCTGGCCGCGCCGCTCTCACTATGGAACCGGCAAGAATCAAGCGTGTCTCTCCTGGAGTTCTGCAGTCGAGCCTGCCACTTATCAGCCAATCAAAAAAGGGGCTACACAATAGCCAATCAGAAAATAGCACTATTGTATCTGGGTAAGATTTAAAGCAACAACCAAAGAAAAAAAAAAGCATATCCTGGAATTGTTCACGTGATTCTGTCACTCCTGCTGCCTGTCTTCAAAACTTGAGAGCCCTGCTATATAATTGAGCATAGTACATACCAGGAAGGTATCAATCAGGAAGGTATCAATCAGGATTATGAGTTATTTTTATTTTTTGATTAATCACTTGGATTAATCATTTATTTTGACAGCACTAATGTTTAGTATATATAGACAAGACAACCATACAAGGGTATTTGTTACTAAGCCTGCCCTGGGTACACCAATTTTCTTGTCCGTTGCCCTCACAGATTCCTGCAGCTAAGCTTATGTACATTTATATTCCAATAAAGGTTATTGATAACATGCCTCTAAAGTTTGACTTTTTGCACCATTACAATACATATAGGCCCCTGTGGCGCGGCCTAAGCTTTTGTCCTTTATGCACACCCCACCCCCCCCGGTCCCCGGTCCCCAAACACCACACCACCGCAAATAGAATCTAATTCTGTGGGAAACACTGCATGCATAAACAATATTCTCTCAAAAATACAAACATGTACATACATGTTGCTCACATATAATGGTAGCCCTGTTTGTGCTAAATAGAGTGTAATTTCACCTGTGCCATTAATATGTTTATAAGCAACTGAAAAAAGCACAAATGTCAGCGCATGTCAAAACATCTCAAGGACCCCAAAAACACCTTATATATTGTGAAAATTAAGGCATTTTTATCACCCAGAGATATTGAGTCTGTGATGCATGCTTTTATTTAATCAAGATTAGACTATTGTAATGTACTATACTTGGGTGTCTCACAGTCCCTACTGTCACGTCTTCAACTGGTCCAAAATGCTGCTGCTAGATTGCTGACAGGGACAAGGAAAAGAGAACATATTTCACCAGTATTGTTCTCTCTCCATTGGCTTCCAGTTAAACATCGTATTGAGTTCAAAACACTGTTGTTTGTTTATAAGGGATTGCATGGACTGGGTCCTCCATACATCTCTGATCTCCTTTCAGCCCACCATAATGTTTTTAGAAATCTCAGGTCAACCAGTAGTCTACAGCTGACTGTTCCGAGGACACGTCTAAAATTAAAAGGAGATAGTGCCTTTTCAGTGGCCGCTCCACAGCTTTGGAACAATCTGCCATCTTATATAAAGACTGCACCTACATACATTGATTTTAAATTGTTGCTTAAAACCCACTTATTTACTGCTGCTTATGGTCATTAGCGGCTGTAGTGGTATTGCATTGTTTTGTGCATTGTTTATTTGTGGTTTTATGTTTTATGGATACTTGTTTACACTTTGTACAGAACTTTGGCCAACAGCTGTTGTTTTTAAATGTGCTCTATAAATATGACTGACTGACTTTATCATTCTGTACTAAATAATGAAAATATAAAAATGCAAAAATGTTTTTGTGAGGGTTATGTTTAATGATAGGTAGGTTAGGGGATATGCAATATTATTAGGCCAGAATAAAAGCAAAATAAGTCAAATGGAAAATCCCCAACACAATAGAAAAACAAATGTGCATGTGTATGTGTGAGAGAGATTAAGAGAGAATCAAGGTTGATGTTGAAGTGAAGAACTGCTGGCAGGTACCTGGCAGACATATTGTTTTCAGGAAGGAGAGGAATCTCGAGAACCTTTGTGCTGGTGATGACAATTTCCTGGCTTGCCGTGGCAACAGTTTTTCCTGTGATGCGGTGAACCTGGTAGAATGCGTGCGGCCTCAAATAACGGTCATCCGCTGTCCCGATGAACATCTGCAGGTTCACTGGCTTCTCACTGAAGCCAACGAGCTGTTAAAAAAGTGAAGAAATTATGAAATGACCCCACTCGTGATTTTTCAACAACTTTTTTTGATCAGTATATTTTCTGTAATAATACAAAAAGACAATGGAGAAATCCTATGGGCTTTTTGACGAGGGAATCAGGGCGATGGTAACAAAATTACACCATCCCTGGAGCCCTTTATAGCCCAACTCTTATATTTTTGACAGGCTGTATTCATCTAAAGGCACTGGACATTCAACCAGGTCAAACTGGCAAATATTCTCCATTTGTATCACAATAATTTCCCCCCCAAAGCATTTCAATCCGAAGGACCCTGTGTATGTGCAATTACTTCCCAAATCCTCATCCATGCACATTAACATCAGACGTTAGCCCACTTTTTCCAAGACGAAATCTAAAACACACTGTGACTACTAATTAAAATCCAGACATGAACATAAAAACATGTTTTTGAGCCACAAGCCACAAAAAACACCAAAATCAAATTGAAGGAAAAATAAATAAATGAGTGGGTAGAAAAGGTGAGAAAAGACAAACAAAACCATGAAAGACATTCTACCTTTGCTGCTAAAATAGTATAAACAAGACTTATGGAAATAGGGAAGTGAAAAACCCATTAAAATGTGATTAATTAGAAGTAACACATCATTCTGAGGTTGTTGAAGTTACAGAACAAAAAGCTTTTACAGAAGCGTTTTTCTTCCTGGTGCTGCATACGTTTGTACACACATATGACCTGCCAATAAGCTTCCCAGACAGGTGAGGAGTTCACAAACAGAAGGGAGCTTTTCCACTGACATGCATGTGTGGGTGGGTGTTACTTAGGTTGAGCACACAGGCTCCTAACGATCTCTCTACTGTTGAAATGTTATGCTTGGTAAACACTGATCCAATGTAGTGAAAGAGAGAGAGAAAATGGGAATGAGACAAAAAAGGAAGGAAGGAAAAGGGAGAGAGAGAGATGACCCATCACAGGTAACGGAAGGACCAAGCCAACCACAGCAACACAATAATGAGAAAAACATGCTTCACATTTAAACTGACGGGTCTTGAGAACAGAGCCAGACATTTGTGGATAGAGGAAAAAGAAATAGACGTTGGGAAAAGAGAATCAGGCAACAACGGGAGACTTGGATTGTAGTAGGATTTGGTTCATGTAGTTCCCAGGACAGCTTGGTTTTATTACACTTGGAGACATGCGTAACTAGGAAATTATTAAACCAAAAGGGTATGCTTTGTTTAAAAATATTTATGGTAACTTTTTACAATAAGTTTCTATATGTTAAGATTAATAGTTAACATGAGATAACAATAAAAAATAAGGTAAGGTATAAAGTACATTCAGCTGGTTGTTATTGCAGAATAAACCCATACAGCATGATTAGAACTTGGATCACCCGAGTTGGTTTATTTTGCGATAACAACTTGCTGGATGTGCATTATCTCACGTATTACACTCTACTTCCCACTTTAGTAAATAGTTGGACACAAAATGTAGATTTTTGTTGGAAGTATTTTATTGACTCAATAAACGCAAAGCTCCCGGAAAGAAATCAGTTGCTATTAAGCAACTTTTAGCCAACTAAGCCAAGACGACTATCAAGTTCAAACTAGACAAACATTTAAGGGATAAAGTACAGTCAAACCACTTATCAAAGCTTTTAACCACAAAAGAAATTATGGGGACAAGATATATAGATATGCAAAGGTTTTGAAATCAATCTTACCCATTTATTATCTAATAAACTATTACAGTGAGTGTACAAAACAATCTTCTGGGTAAAAAGATGAACACAGCAACAATATTAGGGGCTGTTCACAAAGAATGCATTTTTCCATCTCGCATCTCATCATGACACGGCATTCTTAAAACGTGGCGATGGCGCTCAAGTTAAAAGTACTTCAACTTTTAAAAAACATGTCTCTAGACCTTGCGCCATTTGACCTGACCTTTTCCCATTTCATGGCCTATGTCTCTTGTGTTATTAACAGAAAAAACGCATTCTGTGTGAACCGGCCCTTACAGTACTATTAATACTTAAAGGGTTAGTTCACCCAAAAATGAAACTTCTGTCAGTAATTACTCACCCTAATGTTGTTCCAACCCCGTAAGACTTTCGTTCATCTTCGGAACACAAATTAAGGTATTTTTGATTAAATCTGAGAGCTGTCTCACTCCTCCATAGGCTTCTATGTAATTGAAACTTGCAGGCCCATAAAGTTAGTAAAGACATCGTTAAAATAGTCCAAGTGACTACAGTGGCTCAACCATGAGTTTATCAAGCGACGGGAATACTTTTTGTGTGCAAAAACAGCGCAGCGCTTCTGGGTTGTACATCAGAACGTAGGCACACTATTGGCCAGCATCACACACATGACCAGCGTCGGCCAATAGTGAGCCTACGTTCTGACGTAAAACCCAGAAGAGCTGCGCTGTTACACTACGTGATAATGTGACATTAGGGTACACCTACCTAACGTAGCCCTACTGACGGTAACAAATTTGCGCTGTTGAGGCTTGCGCATTTATTTATAACATAATATACAGTTAAGAAACATCATATGACCAAAAGTGCTGTTTTCCTGAATACCATCACGATTGAAAAAGAGACACTGATTTCATAACAGTTCAATAAACAAATAATTAAAACTAAGTCACTTACATTTTAGACGCATGACTGTTTTTGTTGTTTTAGCAGCGAAAATAGTTCAAAACAAAGATCACAGCAGAACCATAGCGCAACTCACAGCAACACTCAGTCGTGTTTCATTACTGAATCGTTTGAGTCAAAGATTCAATTACCCATTCATAAACTGCCTCATTCTGAATAAATCAGCCGTTTGAACGAATCATTTGAATGAATGACTCAATGACTCATTCATTAAAACGGTCACCTGCCGCCACCTACTGGTGGTTTAGTTTCAAAGTATCATTCTTTTCAACATTCCTTATTTGTATATTCAAAAAAATATTTAAAACAATCTCATAATCTCATTTAATACAGCTGTAATCTTTCAATGTAAATTATTTAATTTGATTGTTAACAGCCCTATAGTGTCTTACTATCCTAATTGAATGCACTGATCAAATTTGAGAATTTGAAATGAAAGATGGAGCATACATTTAATAAAATTAGGGAAAAATGCCCTGTATAAAGGTAAAAAAAAAATTCTGACAAGATTGTTTTCCAACAGTAATGTAATGAAACATTGACATTACTGTTGGGAGTAATGTCAAGAGTAATGGGAGTAAACAAGGGAGTAAAGCCTCTGTTTAGGCTATTAAAGAAATGTAATTTTGCCAAAAGAAGAACTTTTATTTTAAATAAATGTAAATTTTAAATCAGCCTACTTCAGTGTGATATGTTACCATATTATCATGCATAACACTGAGAATTTGAATAATTGTAATGTGATGATCAGGTGCAGATATCTAAATCAATGAATATCATATAGGCTCGGGCGGTTGGATTATTTATTTTTAACATCGGATTCGGGTGACTCAAAGTGCACCAGATTAATGAATTTAAAACTTTAAAATGCACAAAATTTTCTTCAGGGGGCATGCCCCCGGACGCGATATTTTTTTTCACAGGATGGTAGGGGAAGACTCATGAATATTCATTAGGGAACTCATCCCTGATTGGTCTGATGACCTACCCCTAACCCCGCCCCTAAACCTACCCGTCACTGTGGGTCTGATGACTTACTCCTAACCCCGCCCCTAAACCTACTCGTCACTGGGGTTAAGACCAATCAGGGATGAGTTCCCTAATGAATATTCATGAGTCTTCCCCTACCATCCTGTGAAAAAAAATATCGCCCCCCGGACCCCCCTAGAGGTACAGAGGTCCATCGGGAAACACCGTATATGATAGTCTACGAAAAATACTAATTTAATTATCTTATTATTAAAATGCATTAAACAGTTTTATTGCACACCTTCCAGCCAGTCAGAATAGAGTATTCAGACAGACCATGGTATAAATTAAGGGGAGATATGGCAGGTAAAAACATCGTTTTTTTGTTTTTTTTCACTGGTCAATTTTGAGATTTTGGGCTATTTGTCTTCAATAACATGTTTTCTTTCAGACTTGTGGTGAAAAAAAGTCCAAAATACACATTTAGGTCTTTATTTTACTACACTTTGTCTATTTGCATCTGTAGATTTCTCCTAAATTCAACAAAAGTTGGCGTTCTAAATCAACATGCTGCTCCGTGATCGCTGTCTGCACCATGTCATCACATATACCGTTGGAAAGCTCTCTCTCTCCTGTACAATGTTGTCCGATCCAAATATGGTCATTTCCTTTTTTATCAGCAACCAATCGTGAAAGTACAATGGGGCATTTTACTCTAAAAGCGAAATCGCATTGGCTGATGTCAATTTCTGACAACGCGATTCGTTCAGATTAGGGCTGTTGGAACGAATTCCGAAATTAGAATATAATTCGAATATTAAAAAAATCAATACTATTCGAATGCTGAAGTTACTATTCGAATATTGTTTTTTTAATGTATTTTTAATTTTTTTATATATATAAACAGGAAAGAGGCCGGACTATGCATAAATTGTTTTATTTGCACAAACGCGTTTCAAGAAGGCACGCGCCGAAACGCGTTTGTGCAAATAAAACAATTTATGCATAGTGCGGCCTCTTTCCTGTTTAACGTTATATATTCTTCTAATCATCAGGCCAGCATTCTTAAAGTTTAAGTTTAATCATTGAGTGATGCCTGCTCCTATTCCCATTCATTAATTTTTTTTATATGGAATCTTGCCTTTCTCGCCACCTTGGCTTACACACATGTGAAAATAAAATGCTTTTGTTTCGTCTGATGAACAATAACGTTTTTGAATCGTAACACAATTGTGCACGTTATCCTCGCTGTATCATCATAACAATACTGTCAAAAATGGTAAATGTTTAACAACGTAAAAAAGCGCCCGTGAAGCGCAAATATCTTGGTGAAAACTCAACGGATTCGGCGAGCACCAAACTCG